ACGTCGCACTGCCCGTTATCTGCTCAGTAATCAGAGATGGTGACGGTAATCGTATCACTCTGACAAAATTTCCACAGAATACCGGGGGTAGATAGTAGCCTGAGACAGCGAGGCAATGACACCTCCGTGTCCACACACAGGCAGCTCCATCTAAAACGTGTGAAAGCCACAGGCTAAGTCGTGTGAGGTGACCGATCTGTGGAAAAAGTTGTCATACCATCAGTGGCGGTCAGTGCAGCTTCCTATCTAGGCCGGTGCAGCTTCCTATCTAGGCCGGTGCAGCTTCCTATCTAGGCCGGTGCAGCTTCCTATCTAGGCTGGTGCAGCTTCCTTCCTAGGCCGGTGCAGCTTCCTTCCTAGGCCGGTGCAGCTTCCTTCCTAGGCCGGTGCAGCTTCCTTCCTAGGCCGGTGCAGCTTCCTTCCAAGGCCGGTGCAGCTTCCTTCCACGGCCGGTGCAGCTTCCTTCCACGGCCGGTGCAGCTTCCTTTCTAGGCCGGTGCAGCTTCCTTCCCAGGCCGGTGCAGCTTCCTTTCCTAGGCCAGTGCAGCCAAGATAAAATAAGAATGGTGAGTATTTCAGCCAGAACTGCTTGCAGACTTTGGTGTTCGAGCAGGGAAGGGCTACAACAGGTCTTTATTATTGTGTGTGTGTCCCCCCCTTAGGGAAATTCACCCTCACTTCCTGTCAGGGCACTGCTATGGCCTGGACTGTTAATTCTCTGTGCAGTGCATTCCATATATTTTCACTTAGAAAGTCTAGTAGAGACTGCTGACACTGCCTGCGGCTCCCAGATGGATTCTCCAAAGCAATATAGACGGTAAACAGGAAGTATACAGCAATGGCATGCATCTCCGTGAGAGGAAGTGAGAGGAAATCACACACAGGCAGCGAACCCTTCCCCACTATATCCTAATTCAGGGGTGGACAAATTTATTATGGAATCCAGTCTGTGCAGTCCAGGTGCTAGGAGGATTTTTTTTTTTTTAGGAGCCAGCTCCAATGACAACAACTAGAGCAAACCTCAAGATTTAGGCGCGGGTTGTAATTTCTAAGGAGCATTGGCAACCTGGCTCCTGGGATTTGTTCGGGCCTGTCCTAAACTTTATTGCTACCGCTTAAAGTGACACAGGCAATGTGACAGTGTTTCTGCAATCGGGCCCCCCTTATGCTCACCCGGCCTGCCCTCTCTTGTTAATCCTCCGTTACACCCAGTGCTGAAATCAGTCATCGTCTCAGGGCAGTGGTGACCTCACTCCCTCGGTCATGTGACAGTGCCAGGCCTGAGCAATGTGACAGGAAGCAGGTCACATGATCCCTCATACCCGGAAGTACAGTGTAGTGTTTCCATCTGCAAAGGAGGAAGGGAATAGTAAGGGAATGCAGTCAAGGTACGTTATAAGAGGGTCAGCAGGGAAAGGACGGGGGGCAATGTCAGGTGGATCATTTTGTCACCACAATATTTTATCAACTAAAATTCAGCTTATTATCCTAGTGAAGTCACTCCAGAGATTCATAATATTGGACGTTCAGGCAGTGACTTCATAGAATAACACCAGTTCAGTTATAGCAAAAGGACGACCCAAATGCATGTTGTGGTTGGAGGGATTCAAATAAAATACAAATATTCTATAAAACTATCATGGAACATCAAAGCAGCCTTCAGATGCAGCCATTTTGCTGATATTTTGGCGCTCAGTCATTTTGTTGTGTTCTCTTAAATCAGGTGTTGACAAATTCCAGCCCCCCAGGCTGTGGTGACACTACAAATCCCAGCATGCATCTGCGTCCGAGAGTCATGTCTGTGACTGTTAGTCTTGCAATGCCTCACGGGATATGTCCCCTGTTTCCCTGAAAATAAGACCTAGTACTATTTTTGGGAATTGCTAAAATATAAGACCTACCCTGAAAATAAGACCTAGTTGTGACCTTTCCCAGGGCCGGTGGTGGCATAAGGGGGAACTTGAAGTGCCGCGGGAGAGAGTCAGCGGTGACAACGAAGCCAGCGCTAGAGGAAGCGAGGCGGCACCGGAGGGAGCAGAGCCGCATAGGCCGAGGCCTCCTCTATAGCGCCGGCTCCTGTCACAGGCGGATTGAGGAATCGATAGTAAAAGTGCACTTCGCTCATTCTGGCCAGCGATTGGTTAGCAAATTGCTCTTGGAAAGGTACGGCACCCCTGATTGCCCTGATCACCCTATTTTTGGACATGAATACATGTAGACTTTTCTACAGGAATAAGTGTGGATTGTTGTACATTGAAAAATAAATAAATAAGACCTAGCGTGTTTTTTTGAGCCAAAAAAATAAAATAAGACAGTGTCTTATTTTCGGGGGAAACACGGTAGTTGCACCACAGCCGGAGGGCCGGAGTTTGCCCGCCCCCGTTATTGTTTAGTCCACAAAAACAAATATGTCTTCGGCCACATAGTGACACTCGACTTAGAGAAACAGACCCCTTTCATTTTAAAGTGCTTCCCGGGGTAAAAAGATGGCCAGATAATTTTAGTAGTGGTGAGCTGCTAAAAATAAAGTGTGTTTCTGTAGCAAAGATTTCTTTAGTTGACATTATTTTTGGGGATTTTCTTTTTTTTTTTTTAGGCCCGGAATTCTCCACCCTAAGCAAGCACCATTAGGGTGTGGGCAGGGGGTAGTGGAATGAGGGCAGAGGTGGGGGGTGTGCCCCGCTTTGATGTTCCATGATTGTGGAATATATCTTCAAAAAAAAGTGAGAAACTTTTGGTGGGTGTCAGAAGTCAAGCCCAGGCTAGCTGGGGTTTGTAGTTCCACAGTTGCTTGTTGCACCAATTACAACCTGGTGTCAGGCCCAGGATAGGTGGGGTTTGTAGTTCCACAACTGCTTGCACCCATTACAACCTGGTGTCACGCCCAGGCTAGGTGGGGTTTGTAGTTGCACAGTCGCTTGCACCCATTACAACCTGGTGTCAGGCCCAGGCTAGCTGGGGTTTGTAGTTCCACAGTCGCTTGCACCCATTACAACCTGGCGTCAGGCCCAGGCTAGCTGGGGTTTGTAGTTCCACAGTCGCTTGCACCCATTATAACCTGGCGTCAGGCCCAGGCTAGCTGGGGATTGTAGTTCCACAGTCGCTTGCACCCATTACAACCTGGCGTCAGGCCCAGGCTAGGTGGGGTTTGTAGTTGCACAGTCGCTTGCACCCATTACAACCTGGTGTCAGGCCCAGGGTAGCTGAGGTTTGTAGTTAGTCGCTTGCACCCATTACAACCTGGTGTCAAGCCCAGGCTAGCTGAGGTTCGTAATTCCACAGTCACTTGCACCCATTGCAACCTGGCGTCAGGCTAGCTGGGGTTTGTAGTTCCACAGTCTCTTGCACCCATTACAACCTGGTTGTACAACCCCTTTTGGATTTAGGTGTAGCGCATCTGTTTGGGTAGAAAATGAGTGAATTCTTTAGGTCGCTCCTTGCATTACCATTGTGTTGTATAAGCATGCACCTTACAACCTGATTGTACAATCTCTGTGTTGTGTGAGGTCCTATGCATTGAATGGATCGCTTTAGGTCCTCACACTACATAATTACTGGTAAATCTTGAGACTGTACAGGGATTGTATGATCAGATTGTAAGGTGTGCGGACAGCTGATTCTTTGATGCGTACGGCTAGATCAAAGAATCAATATGCCCAGAAATGATATCTCACAGAGGACCTGTTCACATTGCTGTGTGCCAAAATGTTTGTCGGTATGCGTGAATTTGTAAGTCAGAATCAAAACCCCCCATACTTACTTCCCTTCCAGCAATGCTACTTGGGGGAGCTTCACCCTCACTGGGGTGGAGATCTTTACACGGCCCTTTTTTCTGGGTTCGGCATCTTCAGGCATCTTGATTGGCCGGCCTGGTATGACCTAACTCCCACGCATGTGCATGGGGGTTCTTTCTTTTTGGCACCTAGGCATGCTGGGATTGTACAATCTTTACAAATTTGCTAGCTGGCAGATAAGAAGCTTGTATTGCACAAGTCTTTTCTGCAATGAGATCATCATACCTGATAGAAAATGTTTGTTTTCTTACGCTTTGGATTGGGGACGGTATTTTCCGACGCCCTTTGGAGCAGGACAGGGAGCTTTCAGGAGATGATATTGGCACAGGACAACGTGATATATTCAGTGCAATAAATGCCAAGTATGGATCTGCAAGGGTTAGCTTATTATTGTAGGTTGTGTTGGGTTGGGATAGGTGGGAGGGAAGTGTTAAGGGTCAGTTTTAGGTGTTAGGTTAAGCATTATTGTCTAGTTTCAGGGTTAGGCTAAGGGATGTGTGTTTGGATTCATATTAGGTGTTGGTGGGGGGCGGTTCGGCTAAGGCCCAGTTCACACCAGGGCGGTTCGGCAGCGCTGAACCGCCGACATGAACGATCCCAAACATTGCTACGGGGACCAATCATGTGACCGTGCAGCTCCGCGCCATCCGAACCACCTGCCGCCCGAAATGCTCGGTGACCCTTTTTTCCGCACTCGTCAGCGCAGTTCGCATATAGATTTCAATGGAACCACGCTGGTTAGCGCGGTTCGGGCATTTTTAATTGCTTTTCAGAGCTGAAACTTCAATTAAAATCACCCCAAACCGCCCTTTCAAAATCCACGCTGATATCACTCTGGTCCACAACCTCCCTCGTGTCAACGGGGCCTAAGTGTTATGGCAATGTCACACAAGCAATTCTGTAAACGAACCATTAAATGTCATCTTACCGTATCCTACGGCATACCGAAATTCAGCAGCATATTGGTCAGCGAGAGAGCATTATCCATTAGTTATAGCCAAATTGCACTTTGCCCTCGCCAGCGGCACGGTCACCATTGTGACATCAGGCTAATGCTTGCCCTACACACATGGCAATTTGTAGGATGTGTATTAAGGCAATGTGTCTACTAGAACTTAAAGCATTTCAGGGTGTTGTGACTGTTGGTGGTAGGTTTTCTATGAATTCATTTATCAATATATCCCTGTATTTTCTCTCCACCAACAGCGTTTCTGGGGACAGCGGAACAAAGACGTCCACAAATGAATAACCGCAAGGAGGACATGGAGATACCGTCGCACTACCGGCAGCTGCTGCACGAGCTGAACGAACAGCGCCAACATGGCATCCTGTGCGACGTCTGCATCGTCGTGGAGGGCAAAATCTTCAAGGCGCACAAGAACGTCCTCCTGGGCAGCAGCCGCTACTTCAAGACCCTCTACTGCCAGGTGCAGAAGTCGTCCGAACAGACCACCGTCACCCAGCTGGACATAGTCACCGCTCAGGGCTTCAAGGCCATCATAGACTTCATGTACTCGGCCCACTTGGCGCTGACCAGCAAGAACGTCATCGAGGTGATGTCCGCTGCCAGCTACCTCCAAATGACGGACATCGTCCAGGCGTGCCACAGCTTTATCAAGGCCGCGCTGGACATCAGCATAAAGAACGAGACTTCCGAGGAGCTAGGCGACTACGACATGGGCGCCCCGTCTAGCAGCGCCGAGGCACTCCTTTCCGCCGTGGTGGCTGGTCGCAGCATCTCTCCTTGGTTGACGAGGAGGACGAGTCCCACCAACTCTTCCGGGGACTCGGCCATTGCCAGCTGCCATGAAGGTGGCAGCAGCTATGGGAAGGAGGACGTTGAACAGAAAGTGGACAGTCAGGACGAGGTGTCCTCTATCTGGGCCAGTGATGGATGTTACGGACCAATGCGTGTAAAAGAGGAGCAGGACTCCCCGTCTCATTACATCGGCAGCAAGGGCGACCAAGCTACCGTTTACGTGGAACAGGGGGACAGCTGGCAGAATTCCGGGCGACGGAAGAATAGAAAAAACAAAGAGACTGTGAGGCATATTACTCAGCAGTTAGTGGAGAACTGCAGACCCGGCTCACCGGAACCGTCCTTTATATCCAGCACGCAGTGGCAGTACAGCAACCAAGACAACTCCAGTAAGTCGGATCTCTTTATCCCTTTATAACGTGACAGTTTTTCATCTGATGAAATTTAAAATTAAGCATTTGCTCCATTTTTTTTAATTTAAATGGCCTTTCTGTTACTTCTATCTAAGTGCCCATTCACAACAGGGCGGTGCGGCCGAGTAGATCTGTCGACATGAACGATCCCATACATTACTATGGGAACCGCTCAGCGCGATCCGAACCAATCGCCCACCCCCCCTGCCGAATTGCTCCCTGACAGCATTTTACCGTGCTGATCTGCGCAGTTTCCATACCGCTTTAAATGGAACTGCGCTGTTTAGCTCTGTTTTGGGCGATTTTTCAGCAATGAAACGCAAAAACTCCCAAAACCGCCCTTTTAAAATAAGCACGGAAACCGCGCTGATCCGCAACCGCCCTGGTGTGAATGGGCCTTTATCTGTGTAACTCCCTAGCTATGCATACCTTCTTTTCACTCGCTCTCTCCATTCATCTGCTGGAAGCAAATAGTGATACCCAGGACTGTAACTCACCGCCAGTGACAGGGCAGTGCTGGGGCATGGTGACTGGCGGCTAATGCACCCAGTGCTGTGATATGGGGGGCAGAATCCTCAGCCCTGTGTAAGCTCCAGGTCATGACTGGGGGTATGTGCATCCGGGGAGTGTGATCCCTTAAAGGGAAGCTGGCCATGGACGGTTGAGATAGAGGTTTACTTTAATGGTGGTCCTCACCACGGCTCATACTCGCCTTGCCATTGCTCTCCCCGCCTCTCTGTTCAACCTCTAGAAAAGAGAAGAACAGGCCCTGTGTAAGCTCCAGGTCATGACTGGGGGTATGTGCATCTAGGGAGTGTGATCCCTTAAAGGGAAGCTGGCCATGGAGGGTTAAGAAAGAGGTTTACTTTAATGGTGGTCCTCACCACGGCTCATACTCGCCTTGCCATTGCTCTCCCCGCCTCTCTGTTCAACCTCTAGAAAAGAGAAGAACAGGCCCTGTGTAAGCTCCAAGTTGTGACTTGAAGCTTACACAGGGCTTGTGATTCTTGTACCACCCCAATATGACAGCATCATGTGTCTGGACAGCCAATAGCTAAGCACCAGCCTTGTCATGTGGGAAGAAGGTGAGTGAGTCACATGTCCCCACATACCTAAAACTACCAGGTATGTCTGGTCTCTTCTCCAGATGAACAGAGCAGCTTTGAGGGCTAGCATTAAAATGATCGTGCTGCTTTACCCTGCATGGGTAGGGCACAAGCCCAGCTTCACTCATCCCTGAGCTAATGCTAGGGCAGGGGTCGGCAACCTCAGCACTCCAGCTGTTTTGGAACTACAAGTCCCATGGGGCATTGCAAGACTCTGACAGTCACAGGCATGACTCCCCGAGCCACTATGGGATTTGTAGGTAAAGCACATTTAGGAATTTATACCAACCACAATTTCGATGCACGTTTCCTTGTGATGATTATGTAACTGAATTCAGGGGTAATCTTTAATTACCCGCCATGTTTGAATTCCGGTATTGCTAACGAAAAGTTTTCTGTTATAAAAATGTATTTGTGGAAAGGAAGAAAGCTGAGAGTGAACATGTAAAATAAAATGTTTCTGTATTTTTGTCTGCAATTTTTGGGGACAGGCTCTCTATAATTAAAAAGTTTAGCACATACGGAGGCCACTGAACTAGTTATGAGGAGGACTGGGCTGTAGCTGTGCACAATGTGATCAGATGCATTAAATTAGATGAAACCATTGATGAGGCGAGATGACGGCAATGAAGAAATAGCGGAGCAGACATGGTACGGTCCATGCCAGCCTGTCCCCATTAGCGGATGACGGAACTTTAGACGGCTCCAACATTTTAAGGTGGTTGTCATCCCCTCTTAAAGACGATTATTTGGTTGCGATTCTTGGTTAGCCGCGCTCTAAGCAGTAGTCGGTTAGCGTCCTTCAGGATCCGTTCGCAAGACTGCACTTGGCGTTCGGCCTTGAGTCACGGCGACCTTGCAGTTCCAGGCCTTTCGGTTACCGTGGAAACCCAGAAGCCTTTGTCTTTAGCTTCACATATTACGACGATACCTGACTGCAGGGCTAGTTAGCGAAATTCCTCTTCGGGATCTCGTTAAGGTAATGCACTGAAATCCGCGGATTAAGCTGGTAACCAAGGCTTGTTCCAGGGGGTGGAGAGTAAAGACGAGAGATCCCGGCGGCTCGGGATCGGGACGCAAAATCCGAGCTTACCTAACGCCATATTGGGGGAGCGTTGAGATCTGACTTGGAGGCACTTTGCATGCATTGGTTTTCCACCGCAAGTATTAGTTCAATTGTCCATTTATTCTTTTTTTTTTAAACATATTTTCTTCATCCTTCCCCATCCTGTCTCTACAGCCCTCCATTTGCAGCTCATTTCTATATTTTAATCTACATCTACTAGCCAGATCAGCGTTGGTCAACTTACTTTGATATAGGCAGGGCTGCATTTACTCTCTCCGCTGCTCCAAGGCCAGGTTCCTCAGTGCACCCCCCTAACCGCCAAACCCTACCGCCATGGAAATTGGCAGACCTGCAGGCTGCATAGAAGTGATGTCGGCGAAATTGCCGGGATCACTTGTACAAAACTATCCGCGGCTTACCCGCTGTACATTTAGCTCTGCTTGCCCAAAGCAGGGCTAAATGTAGAAAACAACTACCCACCCGGTGCCCGGAACTGCATGTCCCGGGCATTGGGAGATAGGAATTCCACACCCCTGCTGCCCCTCTACTCCCTGCTGCCTCAAGGCCGGGCCTTGGTTGGCCTTGTGGGAAATCCGGCCCTGGATATAGGAGGCCTCAAGTATGGCCCCTGACCTTGCCAATGAGCAGCACATGGTATTCAGTGACTTTATTGCTACAGTAAGCTGGTAGCAGGAGGTGGTCAGAGACTGCAAACGTGCAATAGAGGAGACTTTGGCCAAGTTTCAGGAGACAGTCTATGACCGAGCTCATAACCCATCGCACTCCTAACCGGAAAGGATCCAAGGGACGGATGATGGGTGCTGCAGTGACTGTGGATGGCGCTGCCGGCAGATCAGTAATAAGTGAAGAAATCACCAGCACTTCTGAGTTCCAAGAACGTCAGACCTTGTTTACCGACATCCAATCAGGACTTGAAATGTACGGCATGAAGAAGGGACCGTCGTGCATTCCGAAATGTTGCTGTACATTGTGAGACCTGATTACATCGTGAGAAGCTGGTCCAGCCAAAACTGAGCACATGATCACACAAGTCTGTGTTTGGTCACATGATCTCTGCTGAAGAGGTTGGGAGGGTTGAGCCTTGACTGTAATGATGTGGCCAGATTGGTAACGATTCGTAATTGTGGTCAAGTGAGTAGGTGGTTGGCAGATAAATCTTTAGTAGGAAATAGTAGTGGTGGCAGCGAGGAGGTCACAAAACTGGCTGGACAGAATTCAGAATTACAAGGGTTATGACCGATAGGTTCCAACGTGTATATAGCTGTTTTATGATTATGCTTTCAATAAAAAGTCTTCTTGGCAGTGACGTTTGCATAGCAATTCCTCCCGTGGTCCCTGTGAGGAGCCTGTAGAGCCGGTGTTCTATCGAAAGCTCCAACTCCTCGAAATATCCAATTACCGCACTTCCGGTGCTCAGAAAGACTGGAGCTCCGTACAGTTGCGGTGCACATGCGCGCAAAGCGTTTTCAGAATACTCGTCGAGTTTGCCACCTGCTGAATATTGTTAAAATGCAGCTGTACAGAGCTCCGTCAGTCTTTTGTGTTTTGCAGTCTAACGCCTTCTGGTTGAAAATCTCCAACTTGCAAGTACCCGGCAGTGAGGTAGTTGGAGATGTCGATGAGTTGGAGCTTTCGATAGAACACCAGCAAAGGCGACCTCAAACATGGCAGCTTGGTTCAGGCTCTGCACTGGGAGGAACGCCCCCACGCACTCACATATCATACCAGACAGCCAGAGAAAATGTGGTATACAAGTCTGGAGACTGATCTGCCCCCAATTACCGGCTTCTATGTCACTCCGGCTCCCTAATCCCTCCACGCACTATCAGCCCTGCAAAGCCTTGTTAGTGATCTTTCTGCTGATTGTGACTGCAACCTTTCCTTATCTGAATACAAAGCCAGACGCCATTCACGGGTTCAGATCCAGAGGGCGAAAGCCATTGTTCTAAAATTGATCAAATGGGTCTAAAGCCTTAAACAGATACAATACTTGTTAGAGCTCTTATCTCCATTCCTCAAGCTTAGAGCAAACCCACATTGTAGTAAAAGACTGTAAACAGTAATGTCCATAGAGATGCCCACTGGGAGGGCAAGGTAGCTGTCAACTGAGCACTCCAAGTGCATGTCCGGGCAAATACATATACATTTCCCATCTTTTATACCTGCATGTACCTGATGCTCTTACCGAAGTCCCGTTAGCTTGTAACTTCCTGTTTGGGTTGGCCACAAACCTCCGCTCTGACCTCTGCTGCACTAAGATCCCCAGTAGGGTCCTCAGCCCTGCCTGCTCAGCTATAGAACTCTCCCTGTCCTCATCACATTCTCCTCTCCACATTTATACATAGACTTCTTCCACAGAACAGTGACTCCCAAGAGGCTGCCCGAATACTCTGTGGAGGGAAAGGGCTCTTGGGAGATGTAGTTCTGGAGGTGATCTCTGGACTGATCTCCCAGCAGCTGTCCCTGCAAGAATTTTACAAGCTTGGTAATGACATCCTAGGGATTATTAACAGCTGTTACGTGATACAGAAACAAGGTCAAAGAATAAATAATGTGGGGGCGTGGTCTAGAGGGAGGTTTGGGGGGGGTGGGTAAATTGGTGTAATAGCTGGACATACAACTAAACTTGAAAGTCTGGCAGAGGTCATTGGCGGGCACAGGGGTGGGGAGAGGAAAACCAGCAGTCTGTATGGGGGAACTACAGCAATCGTTCAGGTCTTGTACAATGTCCAATTGCTTAACGGGTTCCAAAGAGGTCCCCACCGCACTCCTTACTGGTATGT